AGCTATGCCAATAATGATAATGAGTGCTAAAAGTATGCTGGTCGATAGCGCACTGACTCGGGTATTTACCACGCAGCCCGCTGAAGCCGCAGCGCGACCTGCTTGAGTCAAACTTTTATGATTGTGTTCGATGAGTATCGAACATGCCTGAGTATACCATGCATAGACGATGTGGCGATCAAAACGGATTTTAATAATTTGATTATTATTTCCAGCTGGGTGTGTTTTGTATTACAAACATGGCGTTCATCTGGCCTAATTTTATTACTTTACTAGTAATCTGGGAAAGACCTGGACTTGGTCATATGAATTGGAAGTTATGGAGAGGGGCTATTCTTATAATCATTGGGTTATTTATATTTTTCTGCGGTAGTCTAGTCGCTATACTAGAATTGGCTTCCGTATTCTATAAAGCCAACATATCTGGAAATCCAGATGAGAAAACTATAATCATGTATTGAAAAATGACCTTTTGTCATCTGACTTCGAATTAACGGAAAATTCTTTTGACATCCTAATCTTTAATGAGGATAAAAACAGAATTTGATGACTTTCGTATAACAGCAGATGAGAACTTCTTATTGAAGCCGAGACGTGAACCCCGCATAAAGTGCATTGGAATAAATATTTGGCGGTTTATTAACGTATTATCATTTTGTCTTACGAAAAGAGGCTCGAATAAAAATGTACGTGTTAAATTATGAATTTTGTTTTTGTACAAATAAATGAAATTAAGAAGAATGCCATTGCTTTTTTTTTTGAATTAGTTTTTATGCCATAGAACAGCAAACGGATTACCTAATAGTAATCAATTGGTGCCGCCCAAAGAAAACACGCAACAACAGATGAAATACGAGTGCGTTGCTGTCTTTTTCGGGGTTAGGGTTTCGGAGACTGAAGGATTGGAGGAAGGGAAGACTGAATGAGTCTTGGGTAACATCCCTAGACATTCGTTCCGCAGCATCGTTCTCTCACACTTAATAAAAGGTTATTTCAATTTTCTTTAACAGTTGGTAAAAAAATTTTTGGTCTAATCTAAATATACTTATAATAAATCTGTGGAGGGGTCAATTCTGTACATTAAATATATTTTCAAAATAACTACCAGGGTGTGAATAAGTGATCAATACTGATGGCAAAAATACTATCAGTAAAATTTTTGTCTGTCTGTCTGTATGTTCCTTATAGAAACAAAATGTTGTATGTTGTCCGTTGCAACATGCTGGCCCGCAGGTTTGCGCGCTGTTCTGATTCGGTGAAGATAACACTTTTTAAGGCCTTCTGCCAGTCATTTTATACGTGCAGCCTGTGGACCAGGTTTACCCAGCGGGCTTACAGCGACCTGCGCGTACAGTACAATAACGCATTCAGGGTGTTGTTGGGGTTACCGTGGCGATGTAGCGCGTCAGGAATGTTCGCGGACGCGTGTGTTGACGGGTTCGCCGCGATCATGCGAAAGCGTTGCGCCTCCATGATGTCGCGCCTGCGCTCCACCTCCAATGGCATCCTGAATGTGTTTTGTTTTTGTTTTTTTTTTTTTTTTTAAAAACGTTGCCCCACACTAGGATTTTCTCCTGTGTCGTGGGTGCGTTTACAAACATACAATTTCACATGCACATCACACCCAGACCCGGAACAACAATCTATGGATCACACAAATAGTTGTTCCGTGCGGGAATCGAACCCGCGACACGTTGCGTGGCAGCCAGTTGCCCAGCCACCGCGCCAACCGTGCAGTCGCAGATCGGTGGGACTCTCCCCTCATACGAAGGTGGATAAGTGTGCAGACACACTTATCTAAATAAACTGGTGTGTTTAAATTGTAAAATGGACACTAACATTAGGCTAAGTTGTTTTATTACTAACAATATATGGATGTAAATCTGAAATAAATAATTTTGAATTTGAATTTGAAAAAACTACTCGATGGATTTTAATGAAACTTGGTACAATTATTCTTCATACTCCTGGGCAGGTTATAGAATACTTTTCATCTATATATATCGGAGTAAAAACTTTGTTTTTACTCCTTTGTTCTTACTCCGTGCTTTTCATCATGCTTAAAATAATAGGAGCAGAGCAGTGAAGGGGAATGTTGAGAAGTTACTCCCTTTTGTAAGTTCCCGTCACGTGTGTAACCTTAATGTATTTGTAATACCTATTAATTAGATCCGTACCATCCTATCTATGGACGGACGGATAGCGGAGATTTAGTAAATAAAAATGGGACGATTAATAAAAAAAAAATATGTATACTACGATTTTGATTATTGCTATAGGCTGCTTAGATCCCACGACAGTCTTCCTGCTCCATCATCAGATTTACTGCATAACTTCATTGCAACCCGTGTAGGGACGAAGTTTTCATTGATATAAATGAATTAAATCCAAACACGATGTAGTTACTGTAAACCGTTCAGGAGTCTTTCGTTCACATCATCAGACCCCTAATGACAGTCACGATCAATCTTGGTGCAAAGTGCTCACCAATACGAATCATTCAAGCCATATCGTAAAAAAAAACAATCAGCCGAACATAGTACCTCCTCCTTTTTTTGAAGTCGGTAAAAACAAACACCAGTGATCGCCCACATCCAGTAGAAATGCATCTCTTGAGTTTAGATTGAGGAGCCATATTAAAAGTATCGTATTTTCTTTCATTTTAGACCTACCGTATATGGGGTGAATAGAAGTTGAGGGGTAAATAGATACACGAAAGGGGTGAATAGATGTTGGCGAATTTTCCTTGTATCTATTCACCGCTCTTCTGTGTTTATTCACCCCTAGAATTCTATTCACCCGAAGCAAAATTTGTAGACACTAATATGCAAAATTGCTGCTAAACGATACTAAATTTTCATAGATATCCATCTATTATTTAACGATTTCCAGGTGTCTTCTCAATCCAGATGTTTTGATTGAGGAGCCACCTTAGCATTAAAATAACTATACTTGGAATTTTAATTCCATTCCAGATTTGACAATTTCAGTGTTGCAACGTTATGAAACGTAATAAATAGTGACGTTGTGAAATTATTAGATATGGAAATCGAATATTTCTGAATCGATTCCTCTCGTTTATAAATTTACTCTTGTAAACTAAGTTTATCAGGAAATAAAATATTTCTGAACCGTTAATTTAGTTTTGACAATTAATTATCTATCTTAGACTTTTCTTTTGTAATTGTGTGTGTAATTAATAAAAAATGTGATCATGAAGGAACGTGACAAATAAAACAGACATTTTATAAATTGTCGCCGTAATTTTTTGAATGCCTTCCTGAAACTGATTTACTGATTGTTTATCGATTTTTGTGTTCATCACTACATTGTTATATGTGGTATCATTATTTCACAAAATGACAGTGGTCAATGTCAAATCGGGAATCGAATTAAAAGTCTGATTATAGAGATATATTTTGCTGCTAAATCCAGATTTCGTGCTGCAAAATAGGCTACATTGCTGCTAAATAATGGTGAGATCGGGTTTGGAATATCAGATGTGGCTCCTCAATCCTTACGTACATCGTTGGCAGAGTGCTTGGGCCGAGCAGAGCCATGACCTGTAGGCCTACCGAGAGTGGAACCCAATACAGATATACCCAAATATGACTGTATGTACCTATACAGAAAGCACAGTTAATAGGAATCTCTATACCTATAGTCAGAATTTTAATTCGATTCCTGATTTGACATGACCTACTGTCATTTTGTGAAATAATGATACCACATATAACAGTATAGTGATGAACACAAAAATCGATCAACAATCAGCGAATCAGTTCCAGGAAGGCATTCAAAATATTAAGGCTACCGAATGATCTAAATGCGTATCCCATATAGTCAAAGAAGAGGAAAAAAATATTAACCTGGATATGTTAATTGACAATAAATATCACAGACACAATCCATAATAAATGTTACAGAAAGTCATAGCGATGGCGATAGCGATCACGGCGACAATATATAAAATGTCTGTTTTATTTGTCATGTTCCTTCGTGATCACATTTTTTATTAATTTCACACACAATTACAAAAGAAAAGTCTCAGATCGTTAATTAATAGTCAAAACTAAATTTTCGGTTCAGAAATATTTTATTTCCTGATAAATTTAGTGTACGAGAGTAAATTTATAAACGAGAGGAATCGATTCAGAAATATTCGATTTCTATATCGAATAATTTCGCAACGCCCCTATTTAGTACGTGTCATAACGTTGCAACACTGAAATTGTCAAATCTGGAATGGAATTATAATTCCGAGTATAGGTACAATTACACTATATAGACATCTCCGCAACTTATTTTTGTTTTGCTCAGGGTAATTAAAAAAAAACGGTATCGTTATTTTAAAACATCGTACTCGGGTCCATTACTATATTAAAAAATCTGGCCACATTATTTTTTAATTTGACATTTGCTTTTGTCTAATTGTTGTCTGCAGACGCACAAGACGTCGTAGGGTGGCCGACCTGCGGACGACAGACTCAGGGCGACGCGATCATCCAACAAGCGGCAGGCCTCGAGGCGGCGGTGCGACATGTTCGCGCGAGCCTCGTAGTGCAGTCTTGCGGACGGCTGCCGCAGTGGGTGACGGGGCCAGCCTATTTGGCGGGCCAATACCCGACAGGGGGTTACGACCAATGCTTCGGCGATACCCACCCGACACATGGGTAATTGGAGGAACACCGGGTTGGTTTTAGTCTACCGACATATACTTATCTAGGAGATATTCCAACCCGACACCAAAAAGGTTAATAATTCATACATAAACAATCAGTTTCCCAGCATAAAAAAACAACATTATATTTCAAATCATTTATTTCTTGAAAAGAAAAAGTCATACAAATACAACTATCGACCCCCCTTTATTCAGAACAAATCAAAATAATGATATCGCCAAATATTTGTTATAATGTACATTATGTGTGATCAAAGTCAATACATATTTTGTTTTAAATATCAACATGAGGACAGAACGTAACTTCGAAACACGATCACAATTAGTCTGCCTCGTTAGCTATATTGATCCTATAAAATACGCTACCCAGTTCCATTATAGCTACCAGACTTCCACAGAAAAATATGAATAACCCAATTACTAAAAGAAAAACCCCTCTCCATAGCTTCCATCTCATATGACCAAGTCCTGGCCTTTCCCAGATTACCAGTAAAGTGACAACATTAGGCCAGATGAACGCCATGTTGGTAATACAGAACACTCCCAGCTGAAAAATTTTTAAAATCAATTTTAATTATAATCGCCACATAAAATGCTCTTGATTGTAAGGTTTTTTGCCGTACCACTGTAAGTACTTCTATATAATAGCAATTGGATAGCTTTCTTAGGTAAAAATAAGTTATTTCGACGTTTAAATGGAATAAAATATATTGACTAATATGCTTTCATTCGTTGCTTGCCCCGCAACCCCGGCTGGACATCAGCCCTTATAGGGCCCAGGTGGCCTATTAGCTCTGAGGCGCGAGCAAAACGCTACGCGCCGTACGCTCGGGTCTGGTTCTGGTCGGGCTGCGAGCTTCCCTTACTCGCCGTCCGCAGACCCGCGCTTGCGGTGGCCTGAGATCGTCTCTCGAAAACGTAGTTAGTAAATATCTGTACTTAAGAGTTAACTATAAGTGTGTGCGAAAGCCATGCTTCGGCTCGAACAGAGTGATACCACACTCATATTAAACAGGCCTCAATACTCCCTAGCCGCCTTCTCCCACAATTCTATTGTGTATCTCTACTATCGGCCCAGAGCAGAAGGAACGGGGGTTTTTAGGCAGTAAGAGTCCGACACTGCCTCCCACCCAGGAGTTGTCATATGATGATTTTTCCCTCCCAAAAAAGAACGTTTTATACAAGTTACTTACGAAACCCATCAGAGCATTTATGTCCGGGAATACAATCGCAATACATCCAATGATAGTCACAAACAGTGCACGGTATACAAGTTCCCAAAAAACGGCTTTTTCTGGAGGATGACGCTTCTTTAGATAGTAGAACGCCAGATCGAATGGCACCCAAAAGTTCAAAGCATGGGTCACGTAAATCATCGCCGCAATGCCCCCCTTCAGTATCTTCGGCACTCTAAAATATAAAATATTATTTGCATCACATCGTTCGCCGATTTTAGCGTCAAGAACACAAAATCTACGTTCTTATTGAATTTTGTTTGGCAAAGCTGAAAAAATCAAATCAAATCAAATTCTTTATTTCAAGTAGACCACAAAAGGCACTTGAACGTCAAGCAAGCAAGGTATCATAAGGTTTGACTTTATATGTGTCAGTCTGTCCGTCTGTCCTCTAGTGAAGCTATTTGCTCGTTCCAAAGTGTAGATTCCTATGGAGAAGAACGAGCAAGAAACTCCATGGTTACTCTTTTACTTGAATTACATAAAATTAAAAACAATTGCACACCGTGGTATCGTTTTTATTCTTATGGTTAAGTATGATTGGCGTTCGTATGTAAAACGAATCTATGTAATGATAGATGTGCAAATAATACCAATCGATGACCTCTGCAGCTGTTGTTTAACGTGTTCATTTCTCGTAATACGGTATTCGATATGGTTGTACATATTGTGAAGCTATCGCATTGTATTTTCATCGAATGCGATGCACCATTTGCGGTGAACCTGCTCCTAAGTGCCTCTCAGTGACACCAGCTAGTTATCACAGATCGGAGTCTACGCGACTCGACGATGCCGCTCTGGATGCTTTTAGGTTGAAGCTAACCTTGCAGATGTACAAGTTTCTATATTTTGCAACCCATAGCACACTAAATGTGTATTTGCAAAAGACCTTATTAAACTTACATTGTCAACGGCATATTTATCGTAACAGGTGACACAGATTTTTCCAAAAACGCAGCATACCCGAATATCCCTTGACACATTGTGCACACCATAATTAAAGCCATACCTGAAATGGTAAAATTACCAATGAGTATGAAAGTCGCAACCAACAAATGTTTGTAGTTCTTTCGTTTGAAACAGAGCTTTCTAAACATGCCAAAACGCTAAGATATACTTCACATAAAAAATTGAAACACCTTACAAGTGTATTATTATTTACGAATACATATCAAATGTAGCTTAATAGTGACTTTTATGAGGTTTTAAAATTCTATTGTTCTAAATTCAAATTCAAATATCGTATTTTCTTTGACAAATCATTTTTATTTTGTATTGAGAACGAAGGTAATAATGAAACAACACACGTTGATAACACAACTGAGAAACTTATTAAATAACATTTTAAAACCAGTGTCCTCTCGAACTCTCCACTTTCATCCGGTTTTTCACCGATCGGATCTACTGTACTCCATCTACTCAGTTCTCGCATTGGATGGGTTTGTCAGGTGTGGAGCTTGGGAATATTAAATAAGGAGACGTCTGTATCCAGTGAAGGCCTGTTTAACTTATATTTAACTTACGTATCATCATACCACATACGCCACTACACTACAAAACCGGGCAAAAAAAAATAAAAATAAACACACGTGTAACATTTTTTTAGCAATATAATAATAACAATGTTTAAATGTTGACCAACTGGGTAAAAACAGTTTTGTTCTATTTTATGAACAATTTCTGGTTTGTTATTTACTACAATAGTTACATTGGGTTCTTTATCCTGTAAAACTTCAAATGGTTCTTTATATAAACAATCAAGTTTACTGTTAGTTTAATTTTTAACAAGAAATAAATCTCCCTTCTTATAGCTAACTGCGTGCATATTTTTATCAAAAACAGATTTTCTATTATGTTTATTCTTAAGTAAATTTTAATGCTACTTCTAACCTATACTTTAACTCTAAACTATAATTATCAGGGTTATACAATGGTTTTACCTCAGAATCTATTCTACTAGGTAATTCACAGGATCTACCAAAAACAAGCTCAAACGGAGTGTAATTTGTTGATGTATGAACTGTGTTATGAATGAAAAGCACCAAAACTAACCGAATGACTCCACGTCTCATGATGTTTATGTATTCTATTGTTTATGTATACTGTATTCTCAAATGATGAAGCCAAATGTTTGCTGGCGTTCTCGAGAGATCCGATGGATTCGTTGTGATACGCTGAGAGTGTAGTTTTTCTATACCTACAATATTACATACCTCTGACATTGTTGTTGATATGAATTTTCTGCCTCGATCCGTCGCTACTGTTTTTGGTACTCCAAACCTTAAAATAAAATTGTCAACAGAAGCTCTAGCTACGCTAATAGATTCTTTATTCCTAAGTGGTTAAGCTTCGATAAACAGGACATGGCCAATTTTTGTATGGGCGTAGTTATTAAATTCAATGTACATCAATGATTTTTGGTGTTTACATACGTGAGTATTGTTAAATTAAATTGCAATAAATAAAACACATGAAAAACCCGTAATTACAACACACAAGACGAAAATAGTTTCACTTAACCTTTAGTCAGATTACTGGCACGTAAGTGCACGAAATAATATTTGCTTCTAAAAACCTTAAGGCGTTTTAATTATTTATTTATTAATTAAATAAAACACAAAAATAAGTATAAATAAATAATAATTCACTTTTATAATTATAAAAGTGAATTATTACGTACACTGTATTTTACAGTGTTTTATTGTTTGTGTATATGGAATGTTCGTTTCTGTATGGGCGTTGGCATAGTTATTGAATTCAAGGTTCATCAATGATTTTTGGGGTTTTACATTCGTGAATATTGTTACATTAAATTGCAATAAATAAAACATGAAGAATTTGTCATTACAACACAATAGACGATAAACATTTCACTAAACCTTTTGTCAGATTACTGGCAATAACGCATAAAATAGGATTTGATATTAAAAACCATAAGGTGTATTATTTATTTATAAAATAACAAAAAATAGAAGGTATAAATAATAATGATTTATTTATTAAGGAAAATAAATAAAATAAAACTACGTAATAATTTATTTTTCTATTTTTATTTTACATTGAATTTTATTATGTTTGTGTATATGGAATGTATATTTCTGTAATATACAGGGTGTAAGGGACAGCCCTCCACAAATTAATAGGGTGCATTCAGCTCCTTATTCTGAATCAGGAAAATTTTCATTTTTTTTTTTTCGTTTTTTCAGTTCCTACACCTCTATTTCAATGTATAATTACATTCTATGTATGAAGAATAACATTAATGTAAATAACGCAGCTAAAACAAAAAAATACGCAATGGTTGTGTGAATTCTCTAAAGAACTACGCATGAAATCAGCTGTTCAATTTCTACCTAGCGCGAGTCGTTTGAACTCACCGCACCGCGGTCACGGCGCAGCGGCTCGGCGCCCCACCGCGCCGATCGCCGCGCCGCGCGCCGTAGGTATAATACCTACGATCCCGTCCAACGTACAGAATAGCTGCGTCCCTTTCTATCGCCCCGCCTCCGCGTCTCCCCGTCTCCCCGATTCTTTGCACAATGTTTGCCCGATTGAACCAGTGTTGCCAATTTTTAACTTTTGTTACCTCAGGTAGTAAACGAAAATGTTAGAACTAGCGAAATTTATCTAAAACTTGAGAACTCCTTTGCATTCATAATTACGTTGATGAGATTTTCATTAATCAATTAATGAAAATCTTGTCACGCACATAAATTGAATAAGAAATAAATAAAGATTAGTCTAGTTTTAATTTTAAAGCATTTACAAATACTACCTAATTTATTAATTGATTGTTCTTTTTAAGCGATTACTGGCTAGTTTTTAAACTACTTCCAGATTTTTACATGGCTTCACAATAGCCATGAATCTAAATCAAAATAGAATGAAATCTCCCTGGAATGGAAGCACAGCTTTCTATCACACTGCACTTTTATTATTCTAAATTAACTAAACAATGAAATTAGAATTAAATTGATTTAATCAATTCATTTCTCTACAAAAAATAACAGAATGATAAATTACGACCATGCATAATTTTTTATTTACCCCGAAATTTTGTAATTTTCGTGTAATTGGCAACAACAAATTTATGTTTGTGTGTGTCTCATCACATGCAGTCGCCATTGTGCCTTGCTGCGATGTTACTGTTTGTGTACCGCGAGCGTGTGTCGGTACGGATCGCTCGCGCATTCGGCTTAAAAGTTTTGTTATAAGTAGTGTTGTTAAGTTTTATTAGTTTTGTACCTAGTGTGTGAAGTGTAGTGAAGTTTTGTTGTAGAAATTGTGCGAAATTACTACCTAGGTACGTTTAGCGCGCGTGATTATGGGGAGATGATAATGTGCTGTAGTAGTGTAGGTATCCTGACCGTCGGCATCCATCAGACTCCAGGATAATTACTGGTGACTATCAACGTTTGCTAGAAAACCAGCCCATTGTTCCCAGACAAAAAGGCGCCGGAAGACCAATACCTACGTGGATTTTTGAATTGGTTCGCTAACGTAACGAGACGATACCACTTACCAGTGCTTTCCTATTTAAACGTAGTTTAGGTAGGTTTGGACCGCAACCGTGGCCAGCACGATCCCCAGACCTAACCCATTTGGACCCCTTTTTGTGGGGTTACGTAAAAGAAAAAGTGTTTGTGAGTGCGTGTGCAAGTGAGTACGAAATGCGAGACCGCATCACAAATGCTTTCCAGAGCCGGAAACCGGAGCGATTCTAAGGTACCTACGCATTTTTCTTTTTTTATCATTTATCAGTTACCATGTTATGATTGTTAGATTTTCTTTTGTAAGTAATGCAGCTATCTTTTAAATAATAATTTATTGTTATTAAAACGTGGCGCGAGCGCGATTATTACATTGTCTTTTGTAAGTAATGCGTCTATCTTTTAAATAATAATTTATTGTTATTGAAACGTGGCGCGAGCGCGACTGTTTGTCTGAACGTAAGGTCGCGGCGCTGCCCATAGTGTAAAGTAATAATACTAAAAGCGCTGCCGTTCGCTGCGTGCGTTTGCGGTGGTAGCGATACATTGCGTGTAAAGTAATGAAACAAATCGGTTTAATTGGATTCCCATAACGTTCCTGAAATAATTTCATGTACCGGTCAACTTAAGACGATATACTGAATCCACCCTATCAGTTTGCGGAAGGCTGTCCCTTACACCCTGTATATTCTGTATAATTGGGTAATAATATGGTAGTACTTTTCCTTTGAAGCGGCCCGGTTAAAACAGACGGTAATGGGGGTAACTTGAACATAAGGGGCTGCTGCATTATTATCAGAAGCCAATTTCTGCAAGTTGTCTGAAGCTGATTCCTGCACATTGTCCGAACCCAATTCCTGCAAGTTTCGTGATAAGTCCTGCACTGCCTGTCTATTTGCCCGCATCCAGCACACACGACAAACATATTTGTTTCTTGAGGGCTGAAATTAAACCCCAGTTAGAATAAACACATATTTTCAAGTTTTATGTTATTGTAAAATGAGAAGTATTATGTTACAACATGCCTACTTTAAGACGCCTCTGCAGTCTTTGTATGGCTATTCCGCATTTGATGCACCTCATCGTAATCCACGCACGAAAAAAAAACACGCTGTCAAGTGTCAAACACGTTCCGTTCCGTTCAAGTTTTTTTTGTGAATTGAATAAAAATTAAAACATAATATTATTATAATACGAGTATTTTATAAAATGCAACTAAAATCAATGAATACAGTTTCGTATGAATAAAATGTTCCTAGTGTAATGCATTTGTCGATCATATCACACGTTTTCTACGAGTGTAGTTTAAGACACGTGGTTTGGAATTGGAACGTCTTTTTATTTATCTTTCTCTATGGACTATTATGGCGAAGCTTGACAAACGATAAGTTGAATTCACATGCATTACTTTTACATTTTTTTAATAATAATTGTCAGGTCTGGAGAGGCTAAAACCTACGTAATAATTCATATTTCTATTTTTATTTTACAGTGTATTAATTATGTTTGTGTACGTGGA